TGTAGTATATAATATTTAACATGAATTTCATTTTAAATACAAAATGTATTCTTTTAAATTTTTTATTTTAAACACGTGGTATTAAATATAGAGTTCTTGGTACTTCCACATCTGAACAACAATTTAACAGCAATTATTTTATATATAATTTTTAGAGAGACTCCGAACAGTAGTAAATTGTAACAACAAAATTTTAATTTTTTTTTAATTAATTGAATTTTTGGCAAACCATACACGAGTATTGGAAAATACCCAACATCTTTTGGTCTTTTGGAATTATTTTTTATGTTGATAATCTCAAGGTACCAGATCTAAAAAATATAATGAATGCGATTATATATTGCATCCAAACTGTAAAAGATATCGCGTATCCACCAAATTTTTATTTGGTCTTAAATACGTTTTTTGTTGATAAGATTATTAGTTTATTATTATAAAGCTTATTACAGCCAAAGGCCTACCCTGGTTCCGGTACTCTGCTCTATTGGGTACCCAGAACAATGCTATATTCTATGTTATCGTCAATTAAACACATTCACTTATTTTCTAAATAAAAATATTGAGAGTAAAAATTTTTGTCATGGAAGGTAGGAACTTTAATTCGTATACGCACTTGAATAATATAAACTGGAACAGTTATGTGTGGCAAAATGCTTGAACTTGTGCTCATTAGTCATCAATCATAGAACCAAGTATACAAGTATTTTATGTCATGAAATATCCAACAATTTGACCATAAACTGGAATACAATTACAAACATAACCTTCCATAAACCGCATACAAAGTACAATGCTAACACACTGTGTCACAAAAGGACGAACTCACATTTTTTCCATTTTTCCGTATCCATTTTTATCCATCTTTAAAGAGCAAGACCATAAATTGATGACAGTATTCCAATAACTACACAAGTACGACTATTCCATTGAGCCACATGAGCGCATTTTGTAGAGACACAAGTGGCAACATTGTTGGCACAGGGTTGCCTTTAAGTGGCTTGTAATGTTGAAAAAGCAAAAGTCAATAATCGAGGTTATTAGTTAATGACTTACCATAAAATCGACCATCATCAGCTTTATTCCCAAGAGGGAGCAAGTGGGTACACATTGAAAAAAGAGTGTATTATGTAGAAGTGTAACTGAAAAACTTTGTTATTGGTTTTTACAATGACAATAAGGTTGTTTGTTGTTCATTTTGAAAAATTCTGTTTAATAATAAAATTAAATAAGCCATTTAGTTCACAATTTAAAGAACGATTAATAATAATTTAAAAAATATAAAATCTAACAAACATACATATTCTGTCGTTGACTCAGTTGTTCATTTATATTATATATATTGAAAAAAATATTAGTTTCCGTAAATCTATGTATCTATCTACGTATGAATTTAAATGTACAGCGGCACTATACGTCAATAACTTTAACATCTTCTTTATAACAAGATACTATACGTCAATGACTTTAATATATCATCATTATAACAAGAAACAGCACTAATGCATGTAGGAATAAAGTCTGTATAATCTCTATAGGACGTTTTTAATTGTAAGATCACTAATGATGAGTACTTGGCAATATTCGAAACAGCGTTCTATGGTCAACCAAACTTTAATAAATTAACTAAAAATTTTTGTTGTTGTCTTTTCATTTCAATTCGAACCCTACTAACTTTAAAGTAGTTTCTTTTCGTCATAAGCAAACTGTTTTTAAGACAGTTATATACTGTAATACTGTTTTTTAATATTTTGCTCTTTCTGTCCTGTAAGACTCACGACTTCAAATAGAAATTCATTAACATCTTAATACTATTTTGAAGTTCATTTAATTATTAAAAGTAATAAATTTTAAAAATTTAAATATTACAAAAACATCTTGCGGGTTTCAGAATTTAATCCTCGAGTAATGCCTTCAGCAAACATATCAAATGAATATTAAATCGTAAATTAAATCAATCTTACTTTGCAGGCAAAAACTCTTATATAGTTTTTGTATTATTAAAATGCCATTAAATATTTTTAATATTGTTTCAAAGTGCTTTATTACAGCATTTATATAAATAAATTCATTCGAGTTTATGCAAAGTGACATAGAAACAACAAGACTGATGATTTCAAACATTGTCTGTTCTTAGTATTAAAATTCAGTTCAACTCCAGCTATCTCTAGTTAATAAATACTTTAAAATGGCGGCCTAAAATCCAATTTTCATTATACCAAATATGTTGATTTGTGAATTGCAAAGATAATTACAGGTATTATTGGAAATAATATTTACAATAATATTAGTCAAGAACTCTACGTGTTCACTTTTGCCAAGGGCCTGCACTGATATCTTGAAGAAAAGTTATTTTAGATATTATTTTTTTCTATTCATTCACATGTCGTGATATTTTGATAGTACATAAGCGATGGACCCTACTTACCGATGCATGTACTCCACCCGTTATTATAATTAATAAATACTTTAAAATGGCGGCCTAAAATCCAATTTTCATTATACCAAATATGTTGATTTGTGAATTGCAAAGATAATTACAGGTATTATTGGAAAAAAATATTTACAATAATATAAGTCAAGAACTCTACGTGTTCACTTTTGCCAAGTGAACTAATATCTTCAAGAAAAGTTATTTTAGATATTATTTTTTTCTATTCATTCACATGTCGTGATATTTTGATAGTACATAAGCGATGGACCCTACTTACCGATGCATGTAATTGCTAATGGTTATCCTCTCTAAAAATAAATATTTTTTAATTGCAATATTTGGATTTCATCTTGAAGGACCCCAATAATAAACTTTAACACAACTAACGGAATTCAATAGGAAAATATTAATTCCAACACATTTTTGTTGAGAAGAGCTGTGTCTGAGCAGAAAGCATTTCGCTCTTTAATTCAATTCGAAAATATTTATTTTCTGATGAGTTCACAATATCAGACAAAGAGCTATTGCCACAGTATTCCACTCCAAGGCCAAACAATGACATAAAAAGTTGAAGGACGATGACATCACTGAGCATGTATCAAGATGACATCAATTCTAATATCAGCGCCCTATCTCTTCCAAGCATTCTCTTAAAGAGCAGACGAAAACTTTTGTAATTATTGGAGACTTTCACAGTAAAATACACCTTCACGGCCTTAGTGCGATGCTTCTTTCCAAAAAATACAAAATATTACAGTTGGATGAATTAAATTCTCAAACCGTAGCTTTGATTATACTAAAAGAAAAAGTCAAACAATCACAATCAAATTATTTTAAAATATCATCTCCATCTATGCATATATTCTCAGATAGACCTACAAGATTGTAAGACAGATTCTAAATGTTCTGAAAGTCACAAACGTGTTCTTTAAAAGTTCTTTCAAAAGTTTTAAAAGTTTCATATTCTCCGACAGATCTATAAGAATGTAAGACAGTTAACGATATGTTATCAGATATTCTAAAATCTTAAAAAATTCCTTTCTTTTATATATTTAAAAATTTTTGTGCTGTTGCTTTTGGATTCCATATATTGATTCCATATATATTAGTTGGAAAAAATTTCTATTTCATTGCACTTGGTAAATTACATCTAGAGTAGTTGCCTTTTTAATATAATAAGAATATTGTTTTTTTTCTATTTACAATAGACATCGTTAACAATCGTTAAAAAATATTTTTAGCATATCGTATCGTATTGAATACTTTATATTTAGATGACTTAACCTTGTTGATAATTAAACAATCCTTACAGTCATAATAATATTAAGAATAATTTATATGGTTGTGTAGCGTTTAGCAAAGCTTCAAACACTTCTATTCACCAGCTAGAAATTGCACAAAGCTAGGCCCTGAGAAAACTTTTCAAAGTTCCATAATACATTAGGACGAATGACATCTTCAAGGACATCAAGATTGATTCGATCAAAAAATACATAAAGGATAGAGCCCTGAAATTATTTGCGAAAACTGACAGACTTACTAACACCGCGTTTTCAAATCTCAAAATGGTTACAGGCTTCTCGGGGAGGTATGCAGATCCGAGGTCAATTATTGCTTAGTCTGATGAAGTGATAAACAATAATCTAGCCAAGGTGTAGAGAAGGGTTTTAAAGAAACCTCGAGTTGAAAAAGAGTATAAGTGCTTAAGTGCACTAGCTCAAAACAGCTTCAACATAATAATAATTTACTTACATAAATTATCAGTTATATTATAATAAAAATAGTAGCTTTTTAATTTCTAACAGATTAAATTCTAACCTTTTATCACTTATATTGAAAATAAAATAAAAATAGGCCTGTTTTTAATAAATCCTACTTTCAGAATGGTTGCAATTAATTACCATAGACGCTGTTGTTTATTCTTACGAACATGGACAACTCATGCAGTAATCAACGAAGGAAAATCTTATTTAACTCACATACAAGTCCTATCATTATCTCAGAGATATATCTTGAAGATTTGGTGCCCCGGAAAGTAAATGACTTGTAATCATTCACAGCTTAATTGGTAGTATTAAGAAGATTTAAGCGTATACCACGGAATGCAATTATATCTAGTAGGATTAGAAAGTGTGCCGCTGGAATTTTTCACCATATTAGAGTCATATTATTTAGATATTAATGATGACATCAAACATTAAATAGACAGTTGATTGGATTATATTCGTACTATACTGTCCAAAAATACGCTTTGCAGCAAATAAACATGAAGACCCGAATTCGATTCCTGGTACTTGCAGTCTCAAAAATAATTATTAACGAATAATTAAATACAAGAATTATTTCCAAAACCACTGATGATGGGTATTTGGCAAAACTCGAAACAGCTGTATGGCCAACCAAAAATTCAATTAATTGAAATAATATAAAGAATAAATTTTTGTTGTTGTAGTTCACTACTGTTCGAAAAACCCTCTTTATGTATATATTTTATAAAATTTGATAAAATTATAAAATTTATTTATTTATCTTTATTAAAAAAATTATATATTAACGTACAAAGCGAACATAATAATAAATTTTAGTAGATAAAACACGAAAATCTAAGAACGAAGAAATTTTTTTTTCTTCTTCTTTCTTGCAGAAATTCTTTCAAAATATTCGTCTTCTGAATCGGAGGTGCTTACAGGGCAATAAGTAGACTCATCATCAGTTGCTAAAAATATAACATGATAGAATATGATTACTATAAAAATACTATTTTAATGGATTACTGTCTATAAAATTAGTGTCTATGAATTCAGTTTTTCGTTTGGGTGTAGACTTTGTAAATGCTTGAGACTTCAAAGGTACCCGATGTGGAAAAATATCTTCATCTGAGCAAATTTCGTCAGTTTTTATAGTTCTTTTAATATTCTCTACAAATTTTATTGCAGCTGCACTTTGTTTGATTTTCTTCACCACGCTATTAAATTTTCTTTCTTTCTCTGTTTCACCTTTAACGTCGACTTTAGCATCCTTCGATGTGCTAGGACGAGGATGATTTTTTAACTTTTGCTCTTCAGCAATTCTCAGTTTATGCTCCAACTGTGAACAGGTATTATTTATGCGCTGCAATAAATAATGCTACCTGAATACATTTTTAGTTAGAAGAATGAATGATAATGCTCTTACCTCATCTGTGTATAACTGATCTTTAGCATATGAAATTAAATTTTTAATATACTGATTAAGGACTCCATCAGGTCCATTGTACAGTTCACAATTACTTGCCATTAACTCTAAGTCAGTAAATAGAGCAGCACGAGATTTATAACAATGAGCTGGAAAAGAGAAATTTATTAAACCTTTTTCAGATATATATTTTTTTATCGGCTTTCACAGCCTTAAAATAATTAAGTGAATAAAATAAATACTGTAATGTTCTGCATATATATCATATATATATGATACATATGTATATCGTACATATTATATGTACAAAGTAAATATTTTGTGAAAGAAGTTAAAAAATTTGGACACATGGTAAATTTGACAATCGAATTACAATGATGTGTAGTGGGAATCGATATTTTTTTATTTGATTTCAGATGTCAGTTTAAAATTTTTGACAGCTAAAATTACAATTGAAGCTCTTTTGTAAATTCAGTATTCAGACTCCACCGTTAAGAGTATTGTATTGTTTAAGATATTGTTTAAGATTTATTTAGAAATAAAGTAAATTTATTTTTTTACTTACATTTAATTTTTTTTTCAATGAGGCTTAGATCCATAGGGTTTTTAATTATTTCGTAATAATCTTTGAACTTAACTTTATCTACAGGTTTTTGGAACGGCACACTGCCTTTCATAGTAACAAGATTCTCATGTAATTTCTTAAATATATAAGTCAAAGCTTTTTGGTTGTTTTCATCCAATAATGGATTTATTGCTTTCTCTAAACTCATTAGCTTTTCCTCGTGTTTTGATAACAACTCAAAGCATTTGAACATCATTTCTTCAGCCGCTTTAGTATAGTCACTGTCGGCACCATTGTAAAGTATTGAATTGTTCAATATTTTATTGATATATTTTAAAAACTCTTCTCTATCATTAAATTTCACATCTTTTACTAGTTGGCAGAGTGTATGTATGTCCATAGGATCTTTTATTTTCTCATAATAAGTTGGCAGATCCTATATTCGCGTGTGATTGGAGAAAAAAACAAATAAATAAATAGAATCAATTTTATTTTTTATAAAGTTTATATATTATAAAGTTTATTGTTAATATGAAAATACTAAATATATTTACCTTGGCATTTACGGGATACAGAAATGGGGTCACATTTGGTAATGAACGCAATTCGTTAAGAATTTCCTCTAGTAAATAATTTAAGGCAATTTTAGGATCTGTACGTCTAAGATTTATTTTAAGTTGGCATTCATAATAATAATTCCGCCAATTATCCAAAGCGGCTTTATTATTAGGTCCATGTAGTTGCTCAAACTTTTCCAATTCAATACTCTTTTTATTGATTAACTCATAATTTGACAAACCATAAAACTTGCACAACTTATTCGTACGCATGTGTCCCATCTAAATTCAAATCATTTCATCAAAAATAACTCTAAATAAAATAATTTTAAAATTTTTCTATTACTAAACAATTATATTAAATTATAGCTCAGATAATTGCTGATGATAATATTGAAAACGTAGAATTGTAGAAGAATTCTCCTGATCAAGACAAAAGCGAGTTTGCCGAAATACGTATAGGAATATACAAAAAACAACGATCGAAATAAAAGTTGAAATTCCGAAAAAACAAAACCTAATTTAGAAGAATTCGAGTTCACATCAGTTCCGTAATTGATTAGTTTTTAAGACTGTAAAGCTTCCACTTCTGTACAAGTAACATACATCCACCCCTCTGTTATCATACATCCGGATATAGATTTGTTTGAAAAAGAAGCTTATTTTTTTTTTGCAATATCTTAGTCTTGCCATGCCTGACAGTTAGCAAAAAAACCGTTTCTGTCATTCTAATAGAAGGACAATCTCAATTTAAGATAAATGTCGTCTTGTGGCTAAAGACTCTACACTCAAAATTTTCCAAGCAACTCTCTGAAAAAAGTTGATGTCTTCCCAATCTGACATCGTTGTCAAAGATTTGACAAAGTTTGTCAAACAAATCGTATGATCGAGGGGGGGCGGTGTGGTTTTGGGTGTCAATTTTTCATTACTAGAAAACTACAGAGTTCTATAAAAGGTGTTTCTAAATAAAATTGCATTAAAAATGAGGTGATGTCTTGGCTTAAGGAATAAAGAAAGTGAAAGACGAATAGCAGACGGAAAGATGGAAACAGAAAAAAAGTCTGATGAAACAACGCTCAAAAATTATTGATATGTCCCATAATTGAACGTACAGCCATTATATTAAAAGCTTTTTGTTAGATTAGAAATTGATTAATGAATTAAGCTTTTCAAATAAACCATTTTTAAAATATAGAAAAAAACCTTTGTTACAAACTTTTTTTTGATCGTATATCTCAACACACACTGATGATGTCTCGAAACAACCACATCTATGATGGGACCGGAACCTATCTGTGGATTTGGACTTAGTTCCCTACTTTCTCATATAAAGATAAAGGAGAACCAAAATAAAAATGATTACTAGAATAATATACCAAGATTAACCCAATACAATTAATTTATTGGTACATATAACAACAAAAGATATCAGGAGAGTACGGTCAATCAAAGGAAAAACTTAAAATTATTAATTAGAATCCTATCAGGCCATTGTAAATTAAAAAACCATCTTACAAAACTGTGTATATATATGGATGTAAACTATAGATTCTGCAAAGAGACTGAGGATTCAGCCACATATATGCTGCTGAAATGTTCTGCACTAATACACAAACGGAATCGACTCCTGAGAATGTATTCCCTTACGGACGAAACAATGAAACTCTGTACAGTAGATTCTATACTATTTTCATTGACACAGCAGGGCTAAGACACCTACTTTAAACCCATAAGAGGACGCAATAAACTTTGAAAATGGATCCCGCCTCCTTTTATACGACATTTCTATTTCTTAAGCCAAATAATGACATATCGATTGACTTTACTAAGTTAATAAATACTCAGTCTAATAAAATTAAAATAACACATATAAAAAATGAAGATTTCCAAGCAAATCTATTATAAGTTCTATGATACTAATATATTCCAAAATGAGACGAATGTTTTAAATTAATTGACTTAATTATTCTGATTGAATGACGTTTCCAAAACTTATCAAACTGCGACATATCAAATGTGGGAGAGCAAATTTTGTTTTTTATAAAATAATTGAAGTCCAAAAATTGCACTAATTTAAGATTTAAAACTATTTATATAAAATAATGATTTTTAATTTTATTTTGAAATATACCTCTCCACATGCGCCACATCGTATTTTCAGAGCACTATTATTATTACATTTAAATGTTCTCCGTGCAAAATCATCACTATCAGATTCTGAGGAAGTCAGTTTTGGTACACTACCATCGTTATATAATTTATCCATATTTTTTGTAACAAGATCTTCCTTTCTTTTAATACGCCACAGCCGCTGTTGTATAAGTCGCTTTTCCCTTTTAAGATGTTTCTTCTCTTCTTCATCAAAATTTTTTGCATAGCTAACTAAAAACTCTTTTGATCGCGTTGCATATAACTTAATGTAAGCATCAATGATATAGGGATCTCGAACAATTTCTTCCGAAATAAATTCACTACCATCGGGTTTAAGAAAAACTCTTTCTATTTTCATTACACTTTTCGCAGGCTGCTTAATTGGGGTTTTAGGTTTTTCCGTAGTTTTTTTATCTCTTCCAAGCATTCGTTTTTGTCTTTTTGCTATCATTGATTCTACGTCTTTACTAATTTTTTTTAGTTCATTTAAATCATAAGCCTCCACATCACAGTCTTCATCTGAAGAAATCTCTTCTTTGCTTGACAACAAACGATTTTGTAAATTAAATAAACGCTGCGAATCGGCTTTGAATTGTGCTTCATGCTCCAGTTTTCGATTCAATTCGTCAGTTACAACTCTTGTTGGATTTGCTTCCTTTCTGTCTGTTTTATATTTTTCCCCAAAAAGGGTTCTTATAATATCGATCAATTGCCAACGATCAATTTTCATTATTTCTTTATCATCCATACCCAATTTACGTAGAAGACACCTACACATTTCTACTGGAACGCAACGGAAATCTGCTTCCATAAATTTACACGATTCCGCATTTTGTTTTATTTCTTTTTCTGCCATGGCAGCCTTTTCAAAATGTAATTTTAAAAAAAAAAATTATTTTATTATATTACATGAATAACATGAGTTTAAAAAAAATTACCAATTCTTTAAGTGTGATTCGTTCATAAGAAAATCCCAAACCGCAACCTGTGGGATCTGCAGAACCAGTTAGGTGTAAAATACATTGATTACTTCTTGCTCTGATATATGCCCTATATGTGCGTTTTAGAACAGAATTATTTATAAAAATACAAGAACTTTTACTAAAAAGAATACCTGGTGGTGTTCCAGGGCGATGATTTTACATCATTTTGCAACACGTTTTCGATATTGAAACTATGTTCTTGTCCGAAGCCAATTGCCTTTAAGAAATTTTAAATTAATCTCTTTACCCCATAAAATCCAATCCCAATACCCTATCAACATTATACTTACTTTTAATCTATACTGCCCTAACACCATGCTATAATGTGCACAGCATTTTTCAGGAGTGATAAAGGTACAAATCTCCTGTAGAGTGGGAAAACAAATATCATTTCTCATAATCCACCAGTTAATATTATTGCCATGGCGTTTAAAATGAGCTACTTGCTTTAGATGTTTACGAATAGTCGTTTCTGGAAGTTCCGGAAACGCACCTTTAATATCCTCCATTCGTAATCTAGGTGGTTTAAAAGTGCTTCTCTGGAACAAGCGATATATATGTAACTGCAAAAAGTTTTTGAATACAGCAGTTAATACACATATTAAAAAAAATTGATATAGTATTTTTTATACATTATTTATTATTTATATATTATTATGTCTCTATATAATTTTAGGAAAAACTTCTGTATATAATTTATGGTTGAAAATTTGGGTCATTATATTATAAGGGGTTAAAATATGTATGGTATGTATTTTTTAAAGTCAGTTGATTAAGTATATTAAGCAAGTAAGTATTGTCACAAATACAATGGGGAAAACACTGCAAACATTTGAGTAACAGGGTTCTGCAGTAATACTTTAAAAAAATTTAAATCTTTAATTAAAAAGTGAAAATGTAAAACAAAAACAGAGGTACGTTTACTGTCAAACAACCTAAAGGCTCATTTAGTCGGTACGTAGAGTAAGAACTTAAGCGGAATTAAGCCAAAGCGAAATCCACAAGTGTGGTTGGTTGTGCAATTCGCTTTGACGTAAGTTCGCTTAAACTCTTACGGTTCGTACCGTCTCTAAGCCTGGCACTTGCACTCCAAACAAATTATATACGGACTATAAATTAATTAAAAATTCGATTATTTCTTAAGACCACTGATAATGAGTACTTGGTAATACTCGAAACAGCGTTGTATGGTCAGCCAAATTTCAATCTAGGGAAGTTGTTTAAAATTCCTGAAATGTTGAAAACTTTGCAAATAAAGATTAAATAATCTTAATTATTCACTAATATATATTCATCCCAACAAATATTAAGCTCCTTTTAAAAGAATTCAAACGACGATTGAAGGAAGGAAGATTTGGTAATGTACAAAAAAAAGGTTTCACAGTAAAACTGATTAAGATTTTCAGATTTTTTCAGCGTTAATCAAATAAGGCACATCCAGAAGCAAGAGTAAAACTGCTAACTGCTACTAACTTCATTATAATTAAAACATTATTAACATTTATATTAAAATTTTACCTTCAAAAAATTTCGTATGAAGCTCAAAGCTTCTCTAGAACTAGGCTCTGGTACAAGGGTCACTGGGCAGAGTTGTCCCACAGTAAATAAACCATCTATTTTACGTATCCAATACCTGCCTTTACTATGCACAACCAGAAAATCCGTTGGAATAACTTTGTGCTCATAAATAGGTGCACGATAAAGTTTATTTTCAAGTGTCTGTAAACACTCTCCATCATTTAATTGACCGAGAAACGTTCTTTGAACTGCTGAATGCCATTCTCCGTATCTGAACTTGTCACTATATGCACTCTTATCCTCCTCACACTTATAATAGTTAATAATTTTTGAGTTCATTCCAACCTTAATAAGGAAAATAAAATTTTAATGGAAGTAAATATTATTGTAAAACATAATACTTGGTTCATAAGTGGTGGATGTTCTTCTGAGAACTCCATCAGCAGAATTTTACCGTCTTTTGCACTCAAATCGTCTATTGTTTCCGGATAAAATGGCATTTTCTTTTTATATTTAGAAGCTCGTACCATTCGCTTGTGATTCACAAATTCTTGAAACGTCGATGGAACTACATTAACAGCGTTGCGAAAAGGACGTTTGGTGCGACCTTCTTTGAACTTTGCTAAGCGAGGTCGGTAAAATGTGTTAGCCACATTTCTGCTAAGATGTGTCTAAAGTTAAATTCAAAAATAAGAGAAAATATATTTTAAGGTTCTACATTTTTTAAAATTATTTAATACTTACAGGCATAAATTCTTTATGAAATTCTATAACTGGAAGTGCGTGCTTCAAGTCCAGACGGAAACTGCTTTCTTCTTGTATACGCCTTCCCTTGCCTCGGGAGCATTTTCTGTAATTTTTAAGTGACACTTTTTATTTTTAACAATATTTCTATAATACATACATTGCGAGTGATGTGTTGTCAGTCCGGGATAATAAATCAACGCTTGACACGTCTTCGTTTTTAATATCATCTTGATTTAGGACTTGAACTGTAGCTTCTTTTTGAATTAGCTGTTGGACTTGATCTTGGTTTTGATCTTCAATTTGATATATATAATTGTTTTCACCTTGGTTGTCTATAAAGACTGTAATATAATTGTTTTCAACTTGATTGCCAATAAGGAATTCAGTATAATTATTTTCAACTTGATCGCCAATAAGCAATTCAGTACAATTATTTTCAACTTGATTGCCAATAAGATATTCAGTATAATCATTTTCACCTTGATTTCCTATAAGGACTTCAGTGTAATCATTTTCACCTTGATTACCAATAAGGAATTCAGTATTATCATTTTCACCTTGATTACCAGCAAGGACTTTAATATAATTATTAGCACCTTGATTTCCAATAAGGAGTTCAGTATTATCATTTTCACCTTGATTACCAGCAAGGACTTTAATATAATTATTTGCACCCTGATTGCCAATAAGGAATTCAGCATTATCATTTTCACCTTGATTACCAGCAAGGACTTTAATATAATTATTTGCATCTTGATTTCCAATAAGGAGTTCAGTGTAATCATTTTCACCTTGATTGGCAGCAAGGACTTCAGTATAATTATTTACACCTTGATTGCCAATAAGGACTTCAGTATGAATTTCACCATCAACTTGACGTGTCCACAGATTATTATCTTGGTTTTCATTTTCGATTTCATCTTGGTATTCTAATATAGTTTCATAATCTTGAACAATAGTTTGATTGTCTTGAATATTGGATATAACTAGTGTTTGAATTTCCTCCTGAGTTAGGAATTGAATTTGTTCATCTTCATCACATATTTCTAACAGTTCAAGCGATAATGGTTGATAATCACTATCATCAACAATATTTAGATATTGCAAATCATGAGAGATCCTAAAAAGGAATTCAGTTTAAATTTATGAGTACATAATGTATCTTTCAGGTACCTATATAGTAGTAGTTGCAATTAGAAGATATGCAGCATAAACCATCTGTAAGTATATATTCTGCAAGAAGGCAAAATACCATATAAAACGATATAATGCAGCTAATTTTGCTGAATCATCACACTACCATACGAAATATTCTAATCAAAGTATATCTTTTATGATCTTCTCTGACTCTAATCTGACCATTGTTTATTATAATGTGTATGTCTTTTTTACACCTCGTTTTGGGTGTGGCTGCAAGTCAACATCTTCAGTTAAACGCGATACGAACGTAATTTATATTTTGTAAAAAAATCAAAGTCGAATAAAAACTCAAAAATTACAATTAAATAAAACAGAAATAGAATTAAATAAATTTAATTGTTTTAACTGTTCTTACACGAGTATTGAATAAGTGAATTCCATCACAAAGAATTGTATAGAATTTGTATAGAATGTATAGAATGCCACTTGATTGCCCCAACTTACTTAACTTACAAACTGTTAGAAATACATATCAAACTGCAAACGTCAAAGTCGGTGCGTTCGTATTTGTTTGATACTATAGATTTTTCTATAAACAAGGCTTTTAGGTCATTCGGTACAATCCGGCTTAAGTTCTGATATTTTTATTTCATGTTAATTAGAATTAATAAGCAGTTTTTACTTACTCGATAACTCTCTGCTCAAATTCTTCATCCACTTCTACAATTTCTGGTCCTTCCAAGCTGTCATTCCTGAAATAATATTGCAATTTATATATCCAAATTAGTTTTAGCAATTCTATTTCTTGATAATATTATCACATTTACTCTCAATCCCATTTCACTTATATACATAAATTTTTAAAACTTTCAAAAAAATTGATATATGAGTTTTTGTGTCATGTTTGTGAATAGAATCAGTCTTTCAAGTTTCCTAACACATATTCAAAACTTTTTAAAAAAAATCTATACTATATATGTACTTATAAGCTCAAATCGACTCAATATAGTTCACAGGACTCATATTCAACTTCACCTTTGGTGCCGTGTTATTCTGCCAGTCATGGTCACATCAAATGTGAAATTGTCGTTGTTTTCAATTTAAATTCATAATTAAATTTGGGACAAAGTAAATATTCCGCATTTTTTAGAGACATTTAAATAGTGCCTCTATAAAATATAGTATTGAAATTGAACAATTAAAAATATATAAAAAAATATATAAAAATATAATTAATTAATTCAATTGTCCTACAAGTGATTTATGATTGCTATGTGATATAACACAGCAAGTGAATTTGTTAATGAATTTTTACAGCACATTAACAAAAAACTTCAAGATTGAACATACAAATTAAGTACGTTAGTTAATGAACGTTGACTCTGAGCTACTAATTTGGCAGGGCACGAGTTCAATCACTGGTACTTGCAATCTCAAAAAATTATTTACTAATAATATATTAAATATAAAAAATAATTTAATGACATTTGATGATAGGTAATAGACAGTACTCAAATATAAAAAAAATTTTGTTGTTGTTGTTCAGTTTACCTGTTTTTGCAACCTCTTTATTAAATACAAAAGTTTCTCATATGGTTTCTCAGCCAAAAAAAATTCAATTCCTTAAAATAATAAAATAAAAAAATTTTTGTTTTTGAAGTTCACTACTTCTCGAAACCTCTCCAGAACAAATACCTTCAAATGTGAAAATCTGCACACAAAAACTATTATGGACAAAAAATTGATACTTACGATTATCTATTAGTGATTGACTGTGAACATAACTGACGTTACCCTTAGACAACTAATTATCTTTATAATCTGACTGTTAAATGCTTATCATCATTCCTTATCTGATTACTGCTTTTAATACTGTCTTATAACATGCATTCTAAACGATTGTAACATTTCTTTTAACAATATTAATTTTATAATATATCTTTCTGGTTTTTTCATTTTCAATTCTTTTTTTGAGATCTAAAAACCACTCAACTTAACTTAAACTTATGCTTAATGTGATTAAACTAATATAACATACCATATAATATAACATATATATAATATAATTAAAATTAATATAAATTTGAAGACCTCTTGTTGTAACAGTTGTCAGATAAAACATATACATAGTTTTTTATTTATAGCTTATTTGTTGGTAAATCGCAAGCAAAAAAATAAATTACTGTGTAAAATTTTTGAATTAAAACAAATTATATACTGCTTTAAAGTGTACAAGCCGAAGTATAACAAGATATCATTCGGCTAGACTTCGTTCTGTTCTCGTAAAACAAAAAGAAAGAAAAAAGAATATGCTTCTAAAGAATATTCTTCTTTATGAGTACCATCTATGAATAATATATATTGCATAATTAGAAGTCATGATTAGAACCCACTTTTTACCAAAATTTGCTGCAATAATGTAGAATATTTTTTAAAATGTAAAAATTAAAAAAAAAAGCACAATAATAATAAAATACATTAAGAAATTATATGATTATTGTTATATTAATTAAATAATAAACAAATGCTCACTTACCTGTGTTCTCCGTACTCGAGCTTTTCATCCAAATCCATATTCCTAATATAAATTCAAGATTTAGCTTCAGATTCAGTTTGTATGTCAAATTCTTATTTGACAATGACGAATACAAATATATTTGTCAGTTATTTCAATGGTTCACATTTATAATTTTGGAACACATGGTTGCATTTTAGTACTACATTGATTATGCATTTACACAGTGAAAAACTATATCAAGGACAGAGCCCTAAAATTATTCACAAAAGTTGATACGCTGCCCAACCCCGCTCTAACAAACCTAAAGTCCACCTCAGGACGCACAGGAAGATATGCTGATCTACGGTCCGTCATCAGTTAGAAAATAAATAAATGATAATGTTTCTAGTATAGCTAAAGTTTAGTTTGGGGGAGGGATAAGCCCTCCAACCACAATAGAGTAAAAGTGCGCAATAGCACTAACAACAATGGTATAGTATTTAGTTATAGTATTTGGTTTCGAAAAGTAGTGAACTACAACAACAAACATTTTTTAAATATATTTTTTTATGTATTATTTTTATTAATTTAATTTTTTCGGCCGTTTGGAGTCTTTCTAAATACTTGGAATTATTTCTTATATTTAATTATTCGTAAATTCTATTGAAAATATTTTTTAAAAATATAATAAAAAATTTTAAACACAAAATAATAAGTGTAATATTTTTATAATTTTTATATGTTAAAAAAATGCCGTAAGTCCGGTGAAAATCAATTAATTTAATTGAATTTATTTTTATATAATTATAAAAATGTATAATTTTTCTACGACGGTTAATTCTTAAAGCGAAAGTCAATTTTACTTGATACTTCCATTCTCGAATAAATAAATCCTTTGATTTTGTTGAGGCATACTTAGAACGCATTAAGTACACGCCATCAAGTTTGAAACTTATGTCGAGTTAACCTACAAATTCCGAGAGGAATATCATATAAAACAACTCATGATAATCCACAAAATACGTCTACTGAATTATGTTTTGGAATTACTATACATACGACATGATAAGAGACCTTAGAATAGACCCGATCAAAAAATACAAAAGGGACAGAGCCCTGAAATTATATGCAAAAACTGACAGGCTATCCTACTTAGCACTATCTAATCTTAGAGTAATCACTCTCCACACGTGGAGGTACGCAGATCTTAGATCAATCACTAAATAATCATGAAGCTTATAGGCAATACATAAATTAGTCAATGAGATGGGTGGGACCCTGTAGTACCCCGAGCTATCAAAGAGTAAAAGTGCCCAGTTGCGCTGACTCGAAAAAAGGATCAACATACTATACACTTTCCTTATATTACCACTCCAAAACAGAATTACACAGAACGAATGTCTAACAGATAATAAAATATCTTATAAGATATAAATGGAGGTATTTTTTTCCAATAATTTGGAAGAACTATTATCGTTGGCTTCATAAATTAACTATAAAATATAGTTTTCTTGATGGAAATAACATGAAAGAATTATAATCGTTGAGTTGAGAAATCCACTAAAAAATGCCGTTGTCAGGTGTGAGAACTGAGCAGGCACATGTGAATAGGTCTAAAAACATTTGTTATCGTACAATATTTGCTAGGCTACCAAAAATAAGGATATAACAAAAAAACCCCACTTCGAAATGTAATAAGCAATGACTGAATGAGGGCGCTTCCTATAATTTTTGTTCACTGGGATGTTGCTAATTTATTGGAAACGATCGACTTTTAATAAAATACCAAAATGTTATTTGCCTTAAGATATATGGATAAATTATTTTTAAAATGTTAATGGTTATCAATTGTATATTTGTGTCAGATAGGTTAATTTTGCCCCTCCGTATCTCGATTTAAAATGGACTATTCATCCCATCCATATTTTTCAACAAACATTATGTATATGAATCACTCCTCAAATGTATGAAGGAGTTTTTTCTTTTTTGATTTAAATTTGACTTCCAAAGCATATACAAATATTTAATGCTTTAGAAATGAACTTCAACTGAACTTTGTTTCTAACTTTTATTTTTATAATATTATTTTATAGATAAATACTTTCGAAACATTGACATAAATCAAGTTATAATAGAAGTCAATACCTTCAATTTCACATACTTCGTTGTCAACATTAATGCACAGGGTTCGTCCGGAAATGTGTTGAAAGTTGTTGTTATTGGAGAAGGAATAGGTGGTGTCATTTGTCAGACTTCTATTAACTTCATAAATTAGTTTCATTTGGATGAGGCATTGTCAACCTTCTCCATTATTTAGAATCTATGAAAGAGCATAATATCAAAACGCTTGTAGGTATGCATGTATGTGCTTGTATGCTTGTATGCATGTACGAATGTATTTATGTGGTTATATGTTCATATGCATTTATGGCAATGAATATTGGTTTAATGGATGTTCTTTTCCACAGATGTCTGTGTAAGCTTGTATATTATCGGGCTTGCATGCTTAACGATAATCAATCAAAAATTTTTGCTTAACTTGCGGACGCCTTAATTAATGGCGCATTTATAACGCAATATTCCAACCAAGTACATACGTTTGTATCTATGTTTTGATAAAATCTATCCATACTGGTATATCTATATTAAGATGCATATACAATATATCAGTATGCATTGGGATATGTGATTTATATAAAGTAACTAAAGTAGCGCATACGCTACCAAATATAATAATTATGAAATCATACTCTTCTTATATAAATCAAATCCATTTATTATGAATGAATGGGAAATAGAATACTTTTACCTAGTCTATTTAACAATTAATTAAAATTAGTATATGATTTTAATATTCAAAATTATTTACTGAATATTTTTTGGTATTATTTTCTCATTCAATTATTGAAATTGTACAATCAGTGACCTGAATAAGTTTTATTCGTAGTTATAATCACATTGATTTTGATATTATTCACTATAATATTTACTAAGTATTTGGATATTATTTTCTTATAAAATTATTCAAATTGTAAAGCTATATAGAAAAGTCGTTTCTAGTTATAATTACGTTAATTTGAAATGCGCTTTAAATTAGTTTATTTTATTAACACAGAGTACAAATCCATTCAATGTAACTTCACTAAATTCTTTAATAACATGACACATATAACATATTGAAGTAAGCCCGTCTTACCCCTAAGGTTTTAAGTAATCGCTGATAATACAGAAGAAAATTACTTACCTTTATTTGGACTTTCATTGCTTCCAAATTAATTTCTCCAATTATTAGATTCGAGTTACTTCCACTACTTCTCTGCTGGCTGCCGCTTCCGATTGGAAACATATGCTCTCAGATATGAAAAGTATCGATTTATCGTAATCAATTTTAATTGCGATCATTATCCTTAATGGAGTGATAGTCATAACAATATATCTATACCGTCATCATCTCTTCCAAATGATTTCGCACCGAAGTCGTCGGTTTTATATAAATAAAATAGAAATTGAATTTGAACTAAAATGCATCAGTTGAATGTGTGTGTATGTATAGGTCGCATCATTTCCATGTTAGGTCAGGTCACCTATCTCATTTCTAACGACTACATCATATTATAAAAAAGTTTTACTTTAGAT